GCTAGCTGGTGAGCCCATACTCGCACGTATGGGCTGTGTGTAGAGTATATGGTACACATCCAAAATTACCCGTTAGGACAGCACCGTAGGAAAAACGGAATGAATGATAGGTCCCATCATCTCATTGCATGTGATTGTTGCATTTAACCCCAATAGTGGAGTCACTTATATTTCTTTAAATACTCAAGCCATGTGCTATTATATTTTTCAGGTTAAGGCAAAGCATTCCAGTACGGCTGATGACGGTATCGCAACTTGAGACCATGGCACATGCATAGGATAATGGTATTTATTTTCTTAGACTTAGGCTAGAATAGAATGTTTTTAACTTAAACTCTTATTCATTTTATTTAGTCTTTTGTTGTGTCGTTTTAAAGATGTTTTCGAAATACGTAAGTCCGTGACTCTGTTTTAAGATAAAGGTTATGTTTTATGGAATTTTAATGAAGTCTTCCGCATTCAATGTTTATGGTACGTATACAGTTGTGACCTTAAATTAAGTAGAAAATTTTGGGTCGTTACACTTTGTCCCGGCCATTGGAGAACGTGTGTCGCCTAGGGCATAAGGGGCATGATGACTTGACGTCATCCTCACCTTCCTCCAGCTTATCACTGGTAGTCTGCTCAAGGTTCCAACCTCAACGATTGGCAACTAAACACGAGGCTTGCGCTAGTTGCTGGACTTAACCCAACACCTTAGGGCACGAGCTGACAACAGCCATGCAGAGTACTAATTTTAAGATTTGAACCATGGGGTCTGAGTTTCCTCTTATAGAGGGACAAACAGTCAATTTTGAAAGAACTTGTAGTCAACCTCTTTCGGATGTGAATCTATCTGATTCAGAAGGGAAGAACTTGTATCAGTATCTCAATTTCAATTCAAACATGGGTTTGATTCACACTCCATGTTCTGAGAAATATTTACGAACGAAAAGAAGAAAAAACGGAGTCTTTGTCTAAAGAAATGCCTTGAGAATGGAGAGATGTATAGAACCTTTCAAACTGATAGTGCTTTTTCAACTCTCTCAAAATGGAATCTACTTCAAACATACATATCATGGTTCTTTACTTCCACAGGGTACAAATATCTAAATTTTCCATTTTTAGATACTTTTTCAGACCTATTGTCGATACTACTAGGTACAAGTAGCAACCAAATTTTTTTATCCATTTTCGTGATATTATGCATGGATAAGCTATATCATGGTGAATTCTTCACAACACTTAGTTTATGATTAGATCAATAAAATTTGTTCATTAAATAAGTAAAATTAATTAATTCTTGACCTACATTCTTGGTTTAGTACATATCATTAAAACGAAGAAAAATATACAATTTTATCGACCTTCAAATTTTTCATCGATAGAATGTATAATTCCCGGTGACTAAATTAAAATATATCATTAAAACGAAGAAAAATATACAATTTTATCGACCTTCAAATTTTTCATCGATAGAATGTATTATTCCCGGTGACTAAATTAAAAGAAATACTGTAAATACTTGACTGGGAGAATATTAGCACGAAATTAATTAAAGATTTTTAGATACTAGAGCCTTAGTACTAAAACTAAGCTAAAATACCACCCGTGTCAATTTAGATGATTCAAAAATTGCTTGAGAAGCGATTTAGTAACGAATTTGTAGGCTGCTTCAGTCGGATGAATGTTATCCCAGGACATAAATTTTGATGGATCTTTACACGTTGGGATAATTACATTACATAGAGGCTCCGCTTCCACTAATCCAATTCCACAACAACTCTTCTCTGTATGCTCAAAACCTGTTCAACAAATTCCCAAAACAAAAAATTAGTTGAAAATGGTTCTCAAACTTTGATTTCCCATAAATAATTAAATTTTGATTTAGGTGATTAAAGAAATTGCTTGAGAAATAATTCAGTCATGAATTTGTAAGCTGCTTTGGTGGATGGAGGTTATCCCAAAATAGGTATCCTTCATATTGGTGTTAATGCATTACATAGAGGCGCTTCTTCTGCCAATTCAGTTCCACAACTTGTGTTTGCATGCTCAAAACTTGTGCGACCAAAAGCCCCAAGCAAAACTTAGTTGAAAATGATTCTTAGAACTTGATTTCTCTAAAATATTTCCGACGTTAGATCATATAAGTTGATAAAGGTTTCTATTTTGATGGACACCGACGTACCATACTTGTGAGGATTATTGACCATGTCGATGAGAGGGGTGTAAATGTCAGCGTACAGTATTGTGCTTCCATGTAGTTGCGATTGTAGATTGCCCAACAACTTTGAAAGCTTCTGATTATAGGATATGGAGTCCGAGTTTTGATCTTCCAAACATATTCGTTTTAGAGGAGGTTGAAACGATATAGTCTCTTGAATGGGAAGACAACCAATAGGAGGGAGGCCAGCAACCACTATATTGCGACATCCAAGCTCGTAAATTTCCTGTTTAGTATGTTAGAGTTCATATGCTTATGTGAATGAATTTGGATTATTATGCGATAAAATATTGATTAGGGTTAATAGCGTGCATATGGTTTAATTTACCTTGATGAAGTTTTGTAGTCTATCTTGGATGAAATCTTGGTAAGTGCTAATATTGTATTGTTGTTTCCTTACCCGAAGGTCATAGAAATTTTTGGTAAAGTGATTAGTTCCTACACTAAGAATAACTAAAGCACTACCAATAATCTTCTTACTTTCATCTACACCTACAATCCTAGTAAGTCTTTGAATATAGTTCTTGGACATATCAACATGCTTCATCATAGGAATAACTTCGGATATCATAGTTGTTAGATCATCAAACCCTGAGACGGCTGATGCAAAACTAACTCCTGTTTTCACGTCATCATTTGACAATTTTGGATAAAAAAATGGAGGAACAAGCTCCTTTATGCCCAACCTAGAGGCCACCAGGTCAGGAATGAGTTTTTCATTACTGAACCTTCCAGTAGCAATATGACCGTGAAAATCTTTGTCATAAGGAGAGTAATTAGCCTTTGTAATGGTGGGAATGAAGTTGTTATTTCCCGTATCTACCGTAGAATCACCGAAAATAAGAATAGCAGGAAAATATCCAAAATTTTTAAGATCAGAAGCACTGCAGGATTTGCTCATACATAGTGACCAAACTATCTGGAGCAATAGAGCAGCAATAAGATAATTCACTTGTGCCATTGTCGGTGTTCTTCAATCTGTTTTTGACATCATCTTTGTCATGTATTAATAGGGTTTGAAAGATAATAAAAGTAAGCTCTTTATGGTTTCTACATGGAGTTATTTAGTTGTGAGCAATTTAAGGCCATTGAATGCTATATAGTTTCAAATGGTTCATTAGTTTATTTGTCCTTTATTTTTTCTATAAAAAAAAACATAGTTTAAGTGTTAATTTATATAGTTGAGATCATGGTACGTCAACTACAAGAGTCGATGATAGAGAAGTTATTGAGTATCAAATAGAAAGGGGTATCAACTATAGACGGTAAGGTCGTTAATCTCAAAAATAATATACAACAATCAATGAGATGCTATGACTAGCATTTAGCATATTCGGTTGGACGAAGAGTTCAAATGCATCAAGGTGGACAAGAAGGTGTTTGGGTTAGGGTAAAATGAAATTTGTATTGTTTTAAAGCGAATACTAATATTTCCTTTTTTACGCATAGCGTCGTCCAAATGCAAAAGACGTGTAGAAATAATCATATCGGCATTAATATGACTTGAAAAGAAATAAAATGACTCATTGGATTTTCTTGGGTTATAGTCCCCCTCATAAAAGGTTTTGTTGTCTTGATCCAACCACCACTAGGCTATATATCACCGGTCACATTCAATTCGATGAAGCTCATTTTTCTACTGTCCCTAGGTCTCTTTCCTCTTTTCATATCTCATATTTCTTGGAGCCACGTCTTTTACCATATTGATCCCCTTACCCCTTCTGCACTGCACATTTCTCGATCTAGCTCATCTCCATGTGATATTTGTTATGACCTTGTGGATGAGTATGTGCAAATTGATACTTGTCTTGCAGGTTCCTCTTTGCCACCCTCGACTTATGATTCGCCCCCTATTGAACTTGCTACTGATTCTTCATCTTCTTTGGGTTTTGATCCTACAATCATACGAGCAAAAGTTTATATTTTCAAAACTCGTCATCCAAAATTTTTGATGTTTTGGGCTTATTTGGACTTCTTTTTGCTCTTCTTGCATAGATTGAGCCAAGAAAATTCAAATTTAATGCTAAGAATTGTGTTTGGATTGCTGCCATTGATGAGGAAATTCGAGCTTTACAATAAACGTGTTCTTCGCCTGTGCAACATGTGGGCTCTAAATGGGTCTTGTTGCCAAAGGTTATACTCAGATTTCTTGTCTCAACTACACTCACACTTTCAGTCCTGTTGTTAAAGATACTACTATCGGCGGTCGTTGTGACTCCTTCAAGCCTTCTTAACCGAGTTAACCTTTCTATAACACCGCGGTTACGAAGGTACAAACCTTCTTAGAAAAAGGAAAAGAAAAGAGGGGCTAGGATTTTTTAAAGAGGAAGCTGGAAGGTGAGATTCAAACTCAAATTTGCGGAGTTGAGGACGGCTTTTGGTCGAGAATCCTTCACGGAAGTGCCTGAAAACATGATTCTTCGTAGGTCTAAACTTTTGAATTACCGAAATCGATTAATAATTGAGGAAGAACCCAAGATATGATTTATGAATTTAAGGATAGTATTTATGTTTAAATTATGACTTTTAGGTGATTGTTTATCATATTTACCAAATCTTGTGAAGAGATCCCAAAGAGAAAATGCTTGAATCCAACAATGGTATGAATTAAGAAACACCCTTATTTTGCCCTTGATTAAATTGCATGTTTGATTTGGCTCTTAGAGAAGATATTTAAACCTTATTTTAACTGTGTTTTCACCATATTTGCACTATTTATGAATATTGAAGATAATGACAAATTTTAAAGTTAAAACGGAACAATTCATGACATACCTACAGTAATAGGTTTATTTTAAAAGAAAAATAAGTCCATTACAATGGAAGTTAATGGGACTTCTGCAACTATATGGTGGCAGCTACTTTGTGGTGAGCGTGGTGGTGGTGAGGGCTTGGGGCACCTTCTTTGTGGTGGGCGTGGTGGGCATGGTGGGCATGGTCGGGGTGGTGGGGGTGGCTTGGAGAAGCTACATGATGGTGGCCGTGGTGGTGGTGGTGAGGGCTTGATGCAGCTACTTGGTGGTGACTGCCATGATGAGTTGGTGCAACAACAGGGTTGCCGTGAGATTCAACAGATTCGATGACATTGATCTTCGACTGCGTAGGCAGGTGGTGGTGGTGGTGATGAGGGCTTGGAGCAGCCACATGATGGTGGCCATGATGGTGGTGGTGGTGAGAGCTTGGAGCACCTACATGATGGTGGCCATGGCGGTGGTGGTGAGGGCTTGATGCACCGTGACTGTCATGATGAGTTGGTGCAACAACAGGGTTGCCATGAGATTCGACAGATTCGATGACATTGATCTTGGACTGCGCAGGCGCATGGTGTTGATGGTGGTGGTGGTGGTGGCGGCGGTGATGAAGATGATGTGGGCCAGGAGCGGCTGCTTTGTGGTGGCTGTCGTGGTGAGTTGGTGTAGGAGCTAAGCTTTGATGAGATTCAGTAGCTTCAAAGACATTGAAACTACAATAGAAAAGAAACAAAAGCACACAAACACTTGTTCTAAAAAAAGCCATTTGAATATGATATGAACTTCTAAGCTTGAAGTGTCATATATATATTTATAAAAAGGTTTATAATGAATTGAAAAAATTCTAAATTGAGAGTATACTAAGTAAAAGTTGAAGAGTCTCGTATAGAGGATTGTGTGAGTCAATTTAACACGATTTTCATCTATATTTGGATTTTAAAATAAAGAACCAAACTCACCTTCCATATATGAATTCAACAAATTTCTTAATTAAATATTTATATTTAATTTAAAATGTCAATTTAAGAATTTGATTGGAGAATGTTTTCGTCCAACAAATTAAAGAGAGAACTATTTAGAACCCAAGGTGGAAAGAGAAAAGGTTGTGTGGGATAATCTTTAATTTCCCTATTTTTTTCTAATAAAATAATAATGTATAGACTTAAATGTTCATAATAAAATTTTAAAACAATATAGTAATCAGCAAGAAAAAATGACTAAAATATGGAAGAGAATATGCACGACTAAAACACGAGTGAGACAATATGGATGAGTATGTTATGCATGATGTAAGAAATTACCAATATGTCCCTATGATGAGATTTGTGATGAATATTGTTTTATATGCTTTCCACTTATTTCAACTGTGTTAGAAAGGATGATGGGTTATTGCGATATGTGCTCTGGGTGATTGACGGATGGTATCTCCCCGTTGAACTTGTTTGCTTGTATGTGAGCATGATACACTATGTGTTAGCTTCAAGTGTTGGATTGTAGGTTCTCACTGTGGAGTGTGTTTACCTGCATAGAGCTAAGGCGTTAGAGTTAGGTTGGCTAGACGATGACCTAGGTCAGGATGTTTTCAGTATACTGAGCACTTTAGGGTCGTGATTGTCAGTAGAGGTTCTAGTTCCTTGTAATAGCCCACAAAAAAAAAAAAAAAAAAAAAAAAA